ATATCACTCTGACATTGTATAATTAATTGATCTGTGGAAGGCTGTTTTCTTTTGTTATTTGTGAAGTTCTGGCATACTGCTTCATAAAATGTGGCAGTCTTCGATCCCTGATGTGTACAAAATCCACAGCATCAAATCACAGACAGAAAACCAATATACTTTAGTGAGACAGAGGAAATAAACCTACTACATATGAGAAAATAATAGCATCAATTACAGTAAGTCTTTTCTATATCTCTTCTCATGTCCACTTAAGGGAACATCATTACTCGTATCTCTTTTATTTCTTGTAAGAAATGTTCAGCATGTAATAACAGAATACAGTATACCCCAAGACAAAAAAGAGAAAAGGTAATCAATATGTGCTTCTTCACTTAGCATAAACAGCCACCCAAGAACCAACAGACAGAAGGAAGAAGGAGACACTTATTTGTAGAGGTCATTCATTGAAGTACAAAAGCAGTTGCTGGAAGAGTTACTCAAGGTGACTGACAGAGTGGTAGAGCACAGGGATGAGCATTAACTTCAGGAGTGCCATCTCATAGAAGCCCTAGCAGCAAGAGCCATTAGAACACTATTCAAGCTGGATGAGTGCCACAGCTATCAGTGTTGTATTAAGCACAGGCCCTACTCCTCCCATACACGTCTTTCTGATATGTCATACTGATGAAAGACATGATGCTTGCTAGTGTGATCATTCCTCAGTTCTTTATTACAGGGAAAAGAGACAAAAAGGATATATTTCAGCACTATGGGAATATTGCAATGTGCATTTGTAAAAGATGTGCCAGAAGTGAAGGGAAAGAGGGGACAACTAGGTAAAACACATGCCTGAAGAGCTTCTGCACCTTGGTGCTGCTGCAGACAACCTTTCCACCCTCTATCTTGAGACTATGACTGCTCTCCGTAACTTATTTACCAAGTTTAACTTCTATATGTCTAAGCACAAATACCTCATTCTTAAAAATAAAGGTGCTTTTACACTGAAGGAAAATGATTAAAAAGGAAAGAAAAAAGCATTTTGAATCTCAGTTAACAGAATGATATTTCAAAATACTGCCAAGGCAAAAAAGCCTTAAAGTGGAAAAGCATAATGCTATTTGAGACAAAGAAATAGGTCATACGACTTTAAAAAAATCTATTGAGGACACAAAGTAGTTTTTTTTCCATAATTTCTGAAGCTATCCAGGCCATACCATTTTGATTAGGGCCTCCAAAGCACAGCCCATTTCTCAAAGATAAGCTGTTCCAACCCAGAGCCATCTTATCATCAAAGCCTGTCCATCCCAGGACACCAAAACATCCTGGAAGTTATGAAAAAGATGAAGTCAGCAGGGGAGTCAGAGAGGAACTGAGAGATGCTAGCTGGCTTAGCCCAGCTGACTTATAGGCATTACATGATATGTGGAGCAAATTTGGAAGCAAAACCTTTTGCTTTACACTTTGTTTATTCTTCTTACCAAAAGCTTAGCCTTAACCTGCTGCTTGCTGTGTCTGCATTCCAAGTGGCTGATGACAGGAAGGCAGTGGGACCCTGGGGTCCACCACAGGTACTCTGCAGTCACAAAACTGGTAACACAATCTGATGGCTTGGGGACAAATACTTAAAGGCACTGAGCTGCTTCGAAAACCCTGCTGAGTACCTGCATTGGCAAGCTTCTAAGCTCTTTCCAAAATCTGGCTGCAGAGATGCTCTTTACATCAAAACCACACACTGTTTCTTGTGACATGAACTGTTCTTTATGATACAAAAACCTTCTACTGTCATTGTGTTTATTTACAGTGTCATATTAAAACACATGTAGTAACAACTGAGAAGCACTTATCCTCACATTTTCTTTCTGTTTCTCATTTTGGGTCTAGTAAAAATCCTGTTAAGCCAGTGCAAGTCTTCCAGTTCATTTTTTGTGGATCCTGTAGCCCAGGACATCTAATTCCTGTATTTTTTCAGACTTCCAACACTACAAGAAACTGTCCTTTCTTTGACTTTTGACTTACAACATAGGTCCAGTATTGTTCTATATACTCAGGAGAGTTTCTGTACATGAACACCTATATTATAAACTTCATTTTAATCCTAAACATTTTACCAAGGATCACACACAAAACATCTTTGCATGAGTCACCTATTGCCCAGGCTTTTTAAGTCCACATATTACATGCTTCTGTTTTACTCACTGGAACTCAATGAGAAGTGGAGCTTTTGAATGAAGAAGTACAGGAATAAGCATAAAACAAAACCCAATAAAAATCCAGAAGAGAGAGAAGAAATTTTAACAAGACTGCCTTCTTCAGTATAAAGGTTTAAATTAAAAGGAGTCCTTTTGTCACACATTGTGGCTTCCCTGGCACAACAAATAGGTATGAAAGAAACACAAAAATTTCCCAAGTTAAATAGTGAAATAAAATTTTATACTGTTGAAAGTCAGCTGATTTTCTGAAGAATGAAATTATTTGCTATTCAGTTTATGATGTGTCTTTTGCCCAAATTACACTGACATAAAGTGCAACAGGAAATTTCCATGTGAATTGGCTTATCCCTGGGGGCTTTTCTAATTAAAAGGCAAAAAGCTAGTGACATTCAAACATTCAGAGCTGAACTGAAATTCTGTTGTAGTTCTCACAGAAGGAGGAATAGGAGACGTTAGGAAGGATGAAGCAGTTTTCTGTGAGGCAGTGCTCCCAGGGGGGCTACTGAATGGTGCTTTGTTTTCAGCAAGTCAGTTTTACCTTATATGCTCTGTTTCTCACTGCTCAAATATATAAATGTATATAAACCATTTTTATCCTAGCACAGGAAAGTGCGTATATTGCACACATAAAAAACTGTTCATATCTTACCATTTTCTTGTCTGAGGAAAATCCAACTGCCACCCAGCCATCTGTGTCGGCACTCAACTCAAATTCAACATCAGCTCCTATTCTACGGTAACTTAGAAAGTAGTCACAAGTCTCTGCATTGCATCCAGGTTTGCCATACCTAAATGGAATTGGAAATATACAGAACTTTTCCCCTGAAATTTCCTGTTATGAAACTTAATAAAGATTTTATAAGAAAAAACTAAAATAATGTATTGTGGTATAATGGCAGTAAAGCATATGTTCTGCTAGGCATAAAGTAGCATTTATTGTTTGCAATTATTACTCTTTTAGTGTAAGAATGTATAGTATTCAAACAGTACAGCAAACAATAACACAAAATATTACTCTCTTGACCTTCCTTGCTCTGTTTTTTTTAAAGTGCTTCACGAAAATATAAGAAGAACTGTAGGTCCAGAACTATGACATGTATTCTTAAACACTGTCCTCCAATAATATAGCTTGTACTACAAAGTATGTTCTTAAATAACAAGCATTTATTAAAATGACTATGAAACACTAACCAAAGTCTCCAATATCATCAGCCAGCATCTGTAAATGTAAAGGTATCCGCACTCTTATCTCAGACTGACCTGAAGCATCCCTTGGTTTTCCCACAGTCATCCACTCTGATTTTTGCAAATGGGTCCACAGGAGGAGCAGTGGGGAAAGGGTAACCTGTATAATCAGAATAAACCATTACTTAATAAAATACAAGGACTAAAAATCAATAATACTAAAGAGAAGGTGTTCCAGTAGCATTTACTTTGCTGATAACTGAACTGTTCAGATGAGCAACTACCTTCTGATGTACACAATCCACTGTTCAGATGGTCCTGGATCCAGATACCAATGTAACGTGAATAACTGAAAACAAAAAATTTCTAAGGTTTCCTACTTTCATCAAGGAGGGATAAGAATGCTGGAGGGCAAAAGTTCAACGTAAGGCAGCAGGACCATGGACTATTGCAGTCAACTAACAATTAGGGATCTACGCTCAGCTCTCTCTTTGTGCACTCCTAGTCCCCTCAGGAAATCCATAAGGGAACTGACTCCTTAGCCATAAATGATAAATAAATGCAGAGCTGCAGAAATTGATACTGAGAGGATCTTATAATACATCCTCCTTTATGAAGAACAATAAAACACACATTGCAATCAAAAGTAAGAGAGTATCAGGACAGGGAATTGCCTGCAGTTCTGGCCTGCAATCACTTGTGAAGGCAGACCCAGAAGAGCAGGCAATGAGAGTTATGATTCCAAGCAATCCAGTCTGCTGGACTACAGTACCAAAGAGAAAGTGAGAATGTTTACTAGCAGACCTATCCAGTCTCGGCTTGTGGGAGCTGGTGTCAGTTGCATAAGCACAGATATTTTAACAGGATGTTCTTTTACTTAGACAGATGAAAACCAAAATGCTAGCTGTAGAACTAGAAAGTCCTCTGAAAATGCTTCATTGAGTAGGAAGAGTGCTTCATTGCGTAGGAAATTAACACTGCAGTTAGTTACAGCATCAGCACACAAACTTTTGACCTACACAATTTTGGGCATTCAGGAGCCCTGATTCCCTTCCCTAGATTTCTGACAATGGCAATGGAGAAAGTATGCTGTAAGCTGCAAATCACAGTTCCACCAACTGTATCGAGGGCCGGGTCAATTACCCCGCATAAATAAGTTTGCAGAATTTCACAGCTGTGTGTATCAATGCATTACTGAAACACAGGTCACAGGACATGCAATTTTCTCACTCCTTAATTCTTTTCAAATCCACTGAACAAATGGTTTTCAATGCAGCCTTGCCGCAAAAATGGAGTTTTAACATTCCGGCATCGTAAATTAAAAAAAAGAAAACCACATCAAAGCCCACGACCACGTTGCTCCTTGACACTTTACGGCATCACATGTCCTTTCGAAGCCCACACAGCCGAGGGCTCCTTTTTACGCTACCAGCCCGAAAAGCTTTGCAAGAGGGGAAGGCGAGGCGCCGCCGGCCGGCCCCGCTCTGCAGGGAGGCGACAGCCCCCGGCCCGAGCTCCCGCCCGGGGGGATGCCCGTGTCCGGGGAAATGCCCGTGTCCGGGGAAATGCCCGTGTCCGGGGAAATGCCCGTGGAGAGAGNGGCGGGAGGGGGATGCGCGGGCGGTCAGAGGCACAGCCCCGGCAGCACCGAGCCCTCCCGCAGGGACCGCCGCCCCGGGGGTGCGCGGTGGCCTTCCCTGGATCGCTGACTTCCCGCAGCCCGCCCCACCCCGCAGGAACCCGGCCGCGGGGACGTCTCCCACCGCCCGGGCACGGCTGTGGAGGGGCAGTACCCAACCACTCCTGGCTGCCCCCGTGGCCTCGATTCACTAAAGCCTCTTGCCATGTGCTTCAAGAGGACGCGATAAATCCTGCTCCGTAATTGCCGGACTAACTTAGCTGTTTTCCTATCTTTTAAAATTTATTTTATTATTATTGTTACTATAATTTTAATGACTTCTGGGATGGGACTGGAGACCCAGCGCGACTTAACATTCTTTTCAGGTAAAACCCCATGGCAGTGAGCTTTTGTTATCTGATTGCATGTTCTTGCTTTCTATTTTGTACAATGTAACTGCAGAGATACCAATATACTCCAAACCTGGCAGGACCGAAGGAAATCCCAGGTTGCTCCCGAAGTTGTCTTGGGCTCTGGTATTTGAAGCTGGACTTGCAACTAGGCATTAAGCATGCAGCTGCATTCTTGCTGTGGTCTGGTATCCACGAGTTGATGGAGGAACCATGCCCCTTCATCCCCTGCATTTGTAAAAGTGGGTTTTTTTCTTGGGTTTGGATTGCTGTCTTTTATATTTTTATATAACAACATTTTCATTTTTATATTATTATGCATGGCCACACTTCCTCCTCTGAGAGTCTGGAATAAAATTTAGCAAAACATCGGGGGGAGGAGGGAGAAAGAAGAAGACACAGTGGTCAGTAACACTCTAGAAATTAAAATAACCCTCAATTTGAATGTGTTTTTTTTTTAGTATCAATGACTAAGTTACTTACTGAGTATCAATGTCTGAGTTACTTTTTGGTGGGGCACAGAGACTGCCCAAGACCTAGGCTGCATTAGGGATAAGTTCATTCCCTTGGGCTGAGCAGTTGCTTGTCACACCCGGAGTGTGCTCAGCTGCATCACAGGGAGGATGTTAATTCACATCTCCATGGTTTAGTCTGGTGGAGTAGCACGCTATTTCTCACTGAAGGTAGAGGAATAGCCTCACAGAGGAAAAAAATTACTTGCAAAAAAAATACCAGTTGCATGCAAATTCAACATGTTCTTAGTAGCGTATGGAAAATGCTATAGGAAAGCAACAGCAAGTTCAACTGCAAAATGTCAAGTCCCTTCTTCCTACCTCGCTGAGCTTGGCAAACTTTAGCAGGCTAGTGGAAAACAAGCAAACAAATGGCAATAGAAAAGCCCTTATAAATCAGGCTAACAGGAAAGTAAGGCTACGGCTTTCTGGCAATAATTAACTCTGATGAAGGCCCCCCATCTCTCTTTTTGAAATAGCTAGCTGAGGGTTGTGGTGCCTGTGAAGAAGCATTTGCTCAGTGAGAGAGCAGCTGTCAGCTGCTTGCTGGTTTTTCCTCCCTGGGAACAAGCTTTAGCACACTGAGATATGGGCAATGCTTCACAGTTACCATAAACACTAAGGATATTAGTCATGTATTGTTTGTGCCTACATGACACCTATCATTTTAAATCTGGCAGCTGAAATAACTGTCTGTGATTACAGTGGAGCTGCACTGATTTTCTAAAGTGAAGCTATGGCTAAGAGACTGACCTTCCTCCTGGTAAATCCTTAAAAGTTAAAACTAAAATACTCCTAAAATTTTTGTTGCTTAGTGGAACCTCTTGTGCTTGTCTGGAGGTTGTCCCTATCTCAGAAATGGGTTGCTCATGGGAAGCAACATCACACTGAGACCTGTGGAGCTCTAATGAATACCTTCAGTTTTCACCAGGCAGAAAGGTCTACCCTGCAACTAACAGCACTGCCATCACTACTGCAAGAAAGATCCTTATCTGATTAAGTAATTGAGGTTGTCATAAAAAACCCCAGTAGTAGAAAGAGCCTAAAATGTAATTGCATGAGCAGCCTTGACCCTCAAATGCCTGAACCCTCTGAATGCCATATTTCTCAGCTTGCAACGCCTTTCTTAGAGGAGACACAAACAAGCAGTGTGAGAACATCAGGCTGGAAGGCATTGCCATCCTCAGGCAGCAGGAGTCCTCTTGCTTTTGCTGAATTAGAGGTGTGAGCATTTCCACCACTTCTTGCACCATCTCCTGCTGCCTTAGGGGTATCGAGCAATCAAATTCTTTGAGTGATTATTTGCTCTAGTTTGGGGAATTCTGTGGTGCTAGCACTCAGTCTGTGGGTGTCTTCCCAGGACTTCCCAGGAGACCAGATTTATCCCCAGCCTATCCTTGAGGCCCACCATGCCTTCTTTCTTGGCTGTTTTTGTCATTCAAAGTGTACCTTTCCCCTGGACGCTCACGCTTTTTTGGGCTTTTGGACTAGAAATTAAAGTTTCAGGGATAAGCCATACTTTATATAACAGACATTCAGAAAAAAAATCTTGTTTAGTGCTTCTGGTCATTTCCACCCAATCAGCATGTACTGAAAAATTAGTATGTATGCATCAGTGCTGACTGAGAAAACAGCTCCTGAGACAGCTGTTTTCTTACAGTGAATCTGTAGTAAACTGAACCAGAGTTTGTAATTCCTGTGCAGTTTTCTCAAACCCTTACAATGCTCTTGTTCAATGTGGGGAATGTATCTACTCTGCAAGTGATTTATCTTGGGCTTTCCTTTATTAAACAACAATAAATTGAGAAATTGTTGACTCATAAGTTTTCATTAGCAGTCATTTATCCCATGCTCTAATTAACCACCTGGGGCTCTACAGAAACATGCTTGTGGTATTCATTACTCAGACTAAAATGTGGGAGAAAAAATGGTAGGAATTTCTTGAAAGCAGAGTTTTTTCACAGCCCACAAAACAGAATGATGATGGAAAATATGTCAAATGCCAATAGATGAAGTACATCTCCTATGAGAAAAGTGAAAACGAAGTATCTGCCTTAGAGAAACCAAAGCATTACAAGGGAAAAAGATGTGTGCTATTTCTGAAAGCTGCTCACAAAAGAGATGAGTGAGCTTTTTGGAGGCATGGTATTGCTTCAGGTCTTCTGGAGAAAGGCAAGAAAATATAAACTCTTAGTATGCTATCATCCAAATAAAAACTATGTTATATCCTTAAATCATCTTTTGCTCAGCACTGCTGAATTTTTCATTTTCTGCTGTCGCTTAGTTATGTATCTGGTCTTGCTTCAATAGTAATCGTGCCTTTGCAGCCATTACTGCTCACAACAGCACTCTTTCTGTAAAATTAATCTAATGTAGGAAAAAACAATGTCTCCAGGCTCTTTTCCATGAGCATAACATACACCAATCTAAAGACTAAGTCCAGAACTAAATCAGCATGTGTTTTGCTTCAGTAAGAAATATGTACCCTTCCCAAGATATATTAAAACTGCAGCTTTTTTTGTTTGTTGGTTTGTTTGGGTGTTTATGTGTGTGTTGGTTTACTTCAGGTAGTTTATAACTTTTCTCCCAAGACTGCATTCTTTTACCTTCTGGAACTCTTTACTACCCCAGCTGGGATGCAGTTCTGGGAGATATACCTACCCTGAAAGCCAGATCTACCAGATGGTGGCACAATCTGCACCAGGAGATTCTGGAGCAAAAGGTTTCACTTTTTTAAAAAAAAAGTCCTCATTACAAAGAGGCTATTTTTAGCATTATTCTAATTAGGATCCAAAACAGAGCAGCCTTTTATTAGCATTCGTAATAAAGAGCATTACACTGGGGCCTCCCTGTGCATAAATACCACTTACCTACTGTGCAATAGTTGGCCTGGAGAGCAGAAAAATTCAGCTTGTATTAGCAAAGAGTTCATTTAGGTAGGAATGTTTTAAAGAGTTTAAGCAGCATTAATTCAATTAATTCCACATGTGACAATGTCATTTTATCCTAATTATTTAAGAATTCAGAAATGAGGGGGAAAAGAAAAAGAGAAACTCTGTTCCCTCATGAGACTTCATCTGAAGAGTTACAATAAAAGCCCTGTAAGTTTGCCTGGATAAAAATAACCACTTAAAACAGCTTTTTCCCAATCCTAATACAGCTATCTCCGAGTCAAAATAATAATAATAATAATAATAATAATAATAATAATAATAATAATAGTAGTCTTCTAGGTGATTTCAAGTGGGTGAGAGAAGGCAGCAGAGGAGCTGCTTTTGGCTCACTTCTCTGCAGTGAAGGTGCTTTCTATATATCCTGACCGAGGTATCTTCAGCCAGGGGATCTGAGGGACATCGGCCTTTGCCCCTCCTGAGTACAGGCTACTGGAGAGTATGTTTTGTTTCAAACATGGATAAATTCCGGCATTAGGGCAGTTTTTTTTTTCTCTTGGAGTCTTTAGAGTGCAGGTGAAGAGCAGCCCCCAGGCTCCAGGAACATGCTCCAAGTCTGGTTTATGGAAAAAGCATCCCAGTCATTCCCTGCTGCTCCTGGTGCTGCTGGCCCCCTGCCCAAATACACCCAGCGCTCTCTACACTCATTTTCGGGTCTGGGCTGCGGGACAGGTGCTTTCTCTCCCCTCCGCAAATGCAATAACGCGTTGCGTTACAGCCGCAAGCGCAGCTTCGGGGTGTTTTGGAGGAGAGGGGGAAGGAGGGGCAGACGAGAGGGAAGAAATCGAGGAGATGGATCTGAGTGTCCCCAGGAGACAGCCGGTTTATCCCGGCAGAGCTGGTGCCAGGCGCTTCCCGGGCCGGGCACCTGCCGTGTGCCGGAGCATCTCCCGGAGCCGGCGGGGACAGGCGGGGCTGGCAGTGGCACCCGCCCGCCGCCGA